GTCAATTTTGCACAGTACCTATTCACTGAAGTCAGAAAAAGTTGATCAATATTTTTGTGTTCATTCTTCGGCTGGTTCTGAAAAAGGTTAGTATTGTTGATAAATGATAATATAAATATACCTACAAAATATGTATAAATAGTATGTATTTTAGTAAAAAAAAATATATTTTTAATGTATCATACTTAATAAAAAATGTTTTGAGCAATTACACACTACGCAGTAATTCGTTTTTGAATAACAATAAATATCAAAAATTAATATGAGTAAATTCGATAATTTGTCAGTGAAAATCCAATACCTATAAAAAAAATTTAAACGCTTATAAAAAATGTATGTTACTTTCCTGTAAACTTTTTTTTTGTTTAAGGTAGAAAATTTGTGGGGAATCTTTTATTAACATTTCTAATGTAAGCTATAGAAAGAAACACTTTTATGCATTTTTAACTGAACAATATGATTATGTTCGGAATTTTGTTGAATTTTGTCAAAATTTGAAATTTAAAATCTAAATTCATATAAAGAATAATCATGCTTATGTATCTTTAATATTTTCGAACGTCTATTAAAAAGAAACATATTAGGAATAACATTGCTTTTTTACTAGGTAAGTGAAAAAGTTTTCATTTATTAGGTATAATTTTAAGAAAAATATTATCTTGTAAAATGCTCATATACATATTTGGTGAAAATTGTGTCTATGGTTATTAGTTTTTGAGTCACGCCAAAAACATAAAATCGATTTTTTCAAAAATTGGTTTGCGGAAAAGTTCCAATTTTTTCACTTTTTTTTTATTTCCAGACGCTTATAAATGTAATTCACGGCTTCGTGTATTATTTGGACCCCTCCCCCCCGCCCCCCGTCATGAAAAATTCCAAATTATGCTACTGATGTGACTGGACTATCTACGGAGTTCTTCAAAAGGATTTGAGATTTGTCGTTTGTGTCCTTCGACTTTTTTCCTTCTTTTTCACGTTTATTAATAAATATTCAATTCATAAATGATAAATACAACCTTTTTGAAATAATTATAAACGATAGGTACCTATACTATGAAGTACCTATTGTACCTACAGTTTGGATAATTTAATCAAAGAAAACCGCCATGAACCTCAAACGTGGCACACCTACATAGGTACCAATTAGTATTTATGTATAAAAAGTCCATGGCGACAGTTACCAAATGGGTTTAGCCTTCTATAGCAAAATACAGAAAATCAAATGTTGAAGTTAGCAAATCGCTCTATTATGTGTAGTTTTACAAAATTGTATTACCTATAGAATATAGGTAATACAATATGTAGTAGGTAGCCACTAGCCAGGTAGGTACCTACATTAAAGGCTAACCTAATATCTATTTAATTTTTAAAAACAGTTAAAATATTAGAATTATTAACTAGGTACCTATATTATGAATATTCAACTATAATACATTACCTTTTTCTTTACTTATCAAAAGATTATGTAAATTGCAAAATAATTATGAGTATTGTTATACGAAGTTAAAATTATTATTATTGTTTTTCTCTTTGGTGTTACTATTATTACTTTTCTATTATTACTTTATCTTTATATATTTTAGTTTTCACTATTTTTACTTCTCTATCATTACCTACGTTTGCAAGATTCCAAGATTAATATTTAAAAAATTAAACGATTTAAAAATATATTCTCGACCCAGCGACCGTATTTAGCATCAATATACTTAATATTATAATGTAACATCGTGTTCAAATCCCGTTCATTAACAGGACATCTTCACGATTTTTTTAACATAAAAAAATTATTTTAGACGTCGGCAAAGTATATTAATAATAATACTTTTGCCTAACCCAAACAGCAACAGGAAGAACACAATGATGGATTGCCGTGCTGCTATTGTCAGTTCTCTTCAATAATAGATTAATTTTGAATTTTCTCGAAGTCTTTGTACGAAAGGGTGGTCGTTTCGATGAATTTTTAACGACTCTCAAGTTTTTTCTCCCCCGAGTATCAGGCGGTTGTGATAATTTTTTATATTTTTTCTTTCTTTTTACCTTTTATTCTTCTCTTTTTCTCTTCATAACAACGAACAAGATGGTATCGATTTTCATTGGCCACTTTCTTTCGGATGGTTCCGTTTCATTTTTTCCCTGCAGACAAACGTCAGCATTAACGCGTATGGGAGTTTCATCAATCTTTTCTTTTTCATACCATACGTCCATGGTCTATCGTACCAATTAATTCTATCAGTCCAACAATTGGTTATTTCCTCGCACTTTATATTATTATTGAATTCTTGGCGAGTATTATATGATAATAATATTATGACACATATATAGGTATTCCACACATAACATTTACCTACCTATCGCTTAGACTATAACTCTTAACAATATGTAGGTAAATACTAAACTTCCTAACCATAGAGCGTTTAACTGTAGCTAGCATAAATGTAGGTACCATTTAATTTATCGCTATATGTTAATACTTACTACATCTCGTCCGGTATTGTAAATAGCACCAATTAATGTATTGTATTATTTTATTCTATTATATTGTATTCTAATTGTTTTCAATAAAGCAAAAAAAAATTATGTTTATACAGCTAGAGCTTCTACATTACCTATTCAATGAAAGTATTGGTATACTATTGCAAATTGTTGTATACCTATAATACTTTAACTAGAAATCCAAAATAATAAATAGTAGGTACTAGGTAGGTAGGTAGGTAGGTACCTAATGTCTCAGTCACTTAGTTTGTTATGAATTTGTATATCTCCTCAATTTCAAATCTATTGAGAATAAATAATTATAAAAGTTACTTTCGTTTAAGTATTAAGGACCTAGTATTTAATCACATTTTTCGTCTGATATTATATTATCTAGTATTGTTGCAATATCATACAAACTTGAAATTAACAATACAAAATAAAATATATCTTCACAACTTTTCTTTTTCAATTTTCTAAGAATTTAGGTATTTTAAAAAAAACACCAAACCTTCACAAGCTGTTCAGAATCAAAAACCAAAATGAATAAAGCTAGTTTTATATTCTTCCATATTTTTTTTCTTGGGAATCGATGACTAAAAGAAAAAAAGATTTTATATACCTATATGTTAACAATATTTATATGTATACTATTTGATGGAAGTTGTTAAAGTAGAACCAACTCACTTTTTTTGTTTTTAAAGTATAATAAAAAAATCGCAATAAAAAAGAAGCATCTGCAGATAAGAAAAAAAGTTCTAAACAAAAAGTACCTTAGAAACCAGTCAGATTCTAAAACAAAAATGTATCTAAGTAAAAGCAAAAATTATTTTAAAACTAAATACAAAGTACAAACTCGAATAACAATAATTTCATTGTTAAAAAGTTCTTACCTACCTATTTAGTATTTACCTACCTATTATTTTAAAGTGACTAGGCCATTTATAAATAATGCAACTTATAACTCATAACTTAATAGTAATAATAGTATTTTTTTTTTTGGGGGGGACGAGGTGACCGAGTGGTCTGACTCTTCCGCTGCGACGCAGCCGGTCGCGGTTCGATCCTCGGCCACCGGGCGGCATTTTTCTCCGGACAAGTCGCGGTGACCGGAGAGCAAGTGCTGCCATCCCCCACCCCCGGGGCATGGCAGAAACCTACGGGTGCCCCATTCGAAATTCTGCCAAAAC